TTTTTACGTATTTCATTTTACTCGTCTTCCTCTTATGCCTCCTTATTTTGCTTGAGTCCCCAGCCCCACAATACCCTGACTCTCTGTTAGTAGCTATGTGACCCTAAGAGTCATTAACTAGGCCTCAGTTTACTTTTTATGGAGTAAGGTTATCCTTCAGATTGCGTGTTATTTGGCAGTGCTTAATAACCACGTTGATAAAGTACATTTCTTTTGTGGTATCTGCCCATCTAGATTTTTAGTAAATGATAGAAATTCTATTAAGTTATTCGGAAAGATTTTTGAAAGATTTTTTTTTTTTTTTTTTTGGCACTGAGAGCCCGTAATGCAACGTTAGAGAGTATCATTTACGTATTCTGCGATGTAGTGCACAAGAATATTGACAGTGCCAATACCTATCACTTGATTCTGTGTCTAAAATTTTCAGATCCTGGAATGTTCTTTCACTGGTGGACATTAGTAAAATTATTTTAGGCTATATGTGTGTGATGGATTTTTTGGACTTTTTTTGTAACTATTTATAATGCTTAACTATTTTTATTACTGAATGTTGAAGAAATATTGTTTTCTGTAAGTAATAAGACACTAAATTATTGGTAGATTGGAAAAGAAGTTAGAAAGGATATTGGTGTACTGTTGAGATTGCCTGGGGTGAAACCAGTGAAACTAAAAGGTACAGATTCCCCGCCATGACATACAACGGAGGTAACCGGGAATAATTGTTGAGTCAAACGTTTCTACCTGTTCAACTAGTTGTACAGTCAGTACAGAATGGAGTGTACCAATGGCTATTTGTATACAGCATGACCAGGCTGGATGTTAATGATTTAGTAAGGCAGAGTATAGGCCAATCTCAATTTAATCTTGTATAAAAAGTTGCGTTTTAAAACACTACTTTGATTTAGTTGTCATTGTCCTCAATTTCATTTCTAATGATACTTACACTGGCCCATAAGATCATGAGTGTAAAAGTATTTTAATACTAATAGTGTTAGCCATGAATTCTGGGGTCCTGGAAGAGTGTTTGTCCCTTCTTTTAGGAAAAAAAAAAAAAAAATGCTACATTTTAGGTATAATTGTGAAATACATGAGTTTGAACTTTGCCCTTTCAGCTCCTTTTTATACTTCCATATGTCACTACTATTTCCTGTTATTACTACCTTCTGTGAACCCTTTACCCCTATTATCCCACTCCCAATCCAGGTCTTCTAAACATCAGTTATTTTATTAGAGTATTTATTGGCCACTTTTCTAGTAGAAACAACTGTTGCCTCACTAATCAACTCCTGAACTAGGTGTTAAATGAAAGCAGTGGGACTGTATTAATTCATGCTGAAGTGTGAATGACCAGCAATCCAACAAACCTCTCAGAAATGGTTTTCCGTTGTATAAGGGGTGTTCTTTCTAGGCTAAGTTTTAATCTAAGTGATTCTTTGCTAATATTTCAGACAGATGACCAAGTGAAATGAACATCTGAACTTTGTGGGAAAAGCTGTTATTTTCTTCTTTTGGACATAAATGTGCCATGGTTGGGGAGTACAGGCGAGAGATGGTGGCCATTCTACCAATCCATCTGTAGAGGCTTAGACAAACTCTTGGTGGTTAAACTTGCCCTGTGAAATTAATGGAGTACCTAGATCAAGAGTGGCAGAAAGGGGTTTTTCTTGCCTTTCTTTCCCACTGTAGCAAAGTGAGCTTTTTTCCTGGGTGAGCTTTGCAGTAGAGGGGAAGGAGGTCCCACGCTGAATAGTAGCCTATGTGGGCTGGTAAACTATAGCCTCCCTGTTGTACACAGGCCCTATAGGACTCTCTTAGCCTAGGGGGAGGCTATTTCACTAGAAAGGTGCTGTTCCTGTTGGGTACAGACACATCTCTTTGTCAGCAATGTTTGTCTGGCTCCAAGTCATCCTTAGCTAATATATGAAAGACTACACTGCCACTAGAAAGGTAGTTTAAAGATGTTATTACATAAAGTAGAAAAGGGAAGATGGTAAGTTGCAGAAATATCTTATAGGTGCAAGCAATAAATTTAAAATTTTGTAAAGGCGGAAGGGGAGGGAGATAAACATTTATTGATACCTACTATAACCTAGACACATTCACCATTGCTTTTCATCTTTTCTCACCAAGGAGAATTTGTATAATCCAACATATTCTACCTTAAAAACTCATTTGAAATTTGTATTCTCTTCTATGATATATTCTTATTTTAATAGAAAGTAGTGTGAAATATTAAATTATATTGATGCTTTCAAAAGATGGACCATGCTTATTGAGTGACTTGATGTCTGCCCTGGCACAACTGCATCACATTCCTCCAGTCCACACTCTTATTTGAGAAGCATGAAAACATTTACCTCACAATAACCTCATGAAAGGGATATCATCATCATTTTATAGATGAGAAAATTAAGACTCAAAGAGGGAAGGAACTTAAACAGGTCTTACAGGTACTAAATGGCAGTGTTAAGTTTCTCTCCCCAAAGTCTCTCCTCATATGCATTTTGTGATTCTGTAAAACAGAAAAACTAGTAATACGGAGTGCTGATCCAAAAGTTTAAGGTTTCTGGTCCTCTGCTGACTTGCAGGGGAATCTTTTTAAAGGCCTCTTTTTGAAACATTGTCTTTCATTTCCTCATATGAATGTTGAGAAAAGTTTCAACCTTAATGTTGGGAAAAGGTACCTACATATTTTAAAAATCAGTTGTTTGATGTTCTTGAAGACTACTTCTAAATAAAAGCAGTTATTAGTAGGATGACATATTTGAGAACTCTCCTCAAATCTATGGCTGTCTTCTGTATATCTGTACACACCTGACGTTTAAACACAATGTCTTTGCCACCATTTACTGGTTTCCTCACTGCACTGAGAACAAACTATTCAGTATGTTTACCACCTCCCAGCAATTCCCTACGTGTGTAACTCATCTATAATGTATAAGAATAGCCAAGAGCACAGATTCTGATGTCAGAAAATTTTAGTTTTAAATCCTGACTCCAAATTACTAGTGTGACATTGGATAAAGTGTTTTAGTTCTCTGTGCCTCAGTTTCCGTATTTTAATAATATTTAAGGAAAGAAAAGGGTAATAATGCTTATTACTCCATAGGTTTTTAAATAAATCTTGTGAATTGTCTATGATGATTAGGCTGTAATGTTGTCATGTTATAATGCCTTAACAATTTTGAGTTGTTGACCTACCTTGTAAATGTACTTTAAATTAAATTAACACAATTTAGTAAGGATTACATATATGTATGTATGTATGTTCATTAAGTGAAGTTTACTTGAAAATACTAAGTAATTCCGCAATTTACATGGCCCACCCTTTGACAATAGAGATTCTAAGTAACAAACTTCTTCCTACTTGAGATAGATTTTCATTGGGGGAAGGTTACTGCATAATATGTCGCATTCAGCTAATCTATTCTGTTAATTTGGTAGTATAAAAAGATTTGTAGATAATGAATTTCTATACTCTTTAAGACACTTTATACACTTTGCACTGCTCTTGGGTTTACTGTTGCCATGTCTTCAAGTGGGACTTTCTCTTGACAGAAGTGTGTTAAGCATTGGAAAATTCCCTATCAGTAGACTAGCACCATCTTGACAGCCTTGTGTTCTGCTTCTACCTTGCTAATTGTTTCCTTGGGATTATTTGGATTGTGTAGAAAGCTTTTTGCAAATCCTCTTATTACTGAAGTCATTGTTGCCAGCAGGAATAAGATTAAAGGTGCTTAAGTCTGTAGAGTTGTTTCTAATTTGTACGTGTCATTTCAGTGGCATTTTAACAGAACTCTGTCTCCTGTACCTCCCTTCTCCCCCGGTACTATCTTCAGTTAGGTCCAAGAAGCCAGGCCATTGGAAGAAGTCTCATTTTATCCTCCTAATTATTATGCTGGCACTCAGGAGATAATTTTTCCCTTCATGCACTGCCAATTAATATGCAAATGGACTGATAAATATTTATGTAACGATTTAAATTATGCAGGGAGTGCTTTCAGTATATTCTGTAAATGAATTGTTCATGGACTTCAAAGTGCTGGCTGCTGTGCTAACGAGAAGAGATTTGCATAAGGCCCTAATCACGCGCATACTGATTAAGCTTCATTATGGAAACTGCCAGCTGCAATCTTTGTTTCTATTTTATTACAAAAAGAGGAACTTTTTCATGCTTCAGTTGCCTTGACAATGTCAGTCCTAGCTGATAGGAGAGACTAAAACTCCTCTGAGCAACTGAAGTTTCCTTATTCAGTTGAAGATTGCTATGGTGTAACAGAAGTTGTATTTTGCTTTTCCCCTTAATCCACTTTCCACCCTACCCACTCCCCACCTTTTTCTCTTAAGAACATAGTGTAGATTTGTTAGAAATAGTAGTACCTTCTTTCCCCACCCCGAATCGCTACCTGTTTCTTCCTTGTTTGGACTCTCTGCTCCTCTAGAAGATTTCACAGCAATGCTGGACTGCAGTGACTATGTTCTAGGTGGGTACCAGCACAGTTCTTCTCTTAGAAGCTTTAATATGGAAATAGCATGTGTGGGGTTGACTATGCATAAATGCTTAATCGCATATGCAGCCTTTGTGGGGGGAGGGAGAGAGTTGGACTGAGCTGGGAAGGAGGAAAGCATTTGCAAAGCACAAGCTTACTTGAATTTGCAGTGGGTCCCTCCCTGTGACTAGCTCTTCTGGTTCAGAGGGTGTTATTAGTAAATACAGTGAATTTACATTGAATGAACATTTTTGCTTTTTGGAAATTCCTATTGAGAACATTTCATGTAGTTATAAAGACATCTTAAATCTGAAACAAGGCATAACTGTAATAGATAATATATACATATTAATAAAAATGTTTTTCATACCTAATGAGAATGTCTTATACAAAAACCAAAATGCTCCATGAAAAATAAGGTTGAGTCACAGTGCAGAATAGTTTTCATAAATGTTAATAAAGAGGGTAATTGTAATGGTTGCTGCAGTAGATCTGTTGATCAGTTTCCAGATTTTAGAAACTATTAACTGTTTTCAAATTTTTGCTAGGATTAGTCTCTCTTATTTTTTTAAATCAAGTATGTGCTGTAGATAACTACAATTTTGAATGTTAGAAAACCTCATTTTAGAGTTTTCTCCATAGAGCAGCAAGCCTTTTGGAGAGGAAGATGCCAGCTTAAATATATTTAAACCATCTTTGGTGACAGAGATTTCAAAGAAATCAAGGCACTTTGGTTTTTAGATATACGGTGGCTAACGGTGGTCATATTTTGTGTGGAGTTCTGTCTGTTTGTATGTAGAATTTTTGAGACTTTTTAAAGTTACTCTAGTCACCTGGAAAGTTAAATGATATGAACTCTAGGACTTGGATATCTTACGTTTAAAACTTTTGCAAATGACTTTTTTTTTTTTGTATATTGTCATTTTCCATACTTGAAAATTGAGGCTACTCCTGTCACCTTCATATTGAAAATGTTTGAATTCTTATGTGGAAGGCATGGCCTAAACCCAGGGTAGCAGGATCTGCCCAGCACAGTAAAAGCCACTATGGAAAGGGTCAATGACATAAACAACAAATTTATGTCAGGAATTAAATCTTTTATTTACTCTTTGACATTTACCTAGTTGGGAATTTAAAAAAGGAAAGAAAAATACCTTTTTGGAAGATTCTAACATTTCATTTTAGAATGAGAAATTATATCTTTTACTTTCACTTAATAGTAAACATTATTTAAACAGTCTTCCCATTGTTGTACAACTCTATTTTTGTGTGTATGTGAAGTAATGTTTTATTTTTGTGTGTATGTGAGATAGTTTTGTTTAATGCTTTTGAAGCTCTTGACAATTCAGTAGAAGACTATGAGAAGATTCGCTTAAAATCCCTGTGACATAATCTTTAATTTTTAGATGGGAAAATTAGAATATGAATTGTACAAGGTGGGGCTTATGACTCGTTAAGAATTGTGCTGCTTTATTTCTTAATGTTAACTGATTCATCGTTTTTTCTACTTTCCATTAAAATTCATTTAAAGGAAACATTGAGCAGTGTGTATGTTAATGGTATATTCTATTACATTTGTTGTGATCTTTGTTGACTTTCATAAGATTTTGGTTGTCATTCAAAAGCTCATTTTCACTAAATTATACACCTTTTCCTTTCAAACCTTAGTGTGCTTTCAGATGACATCTAGATTTCTCTGGACAGTGAGGAGAAGCAAGCTGTAGAACTGCCCTCATTTACAACCACAAGCATATGAATTTGAACCCTTTGAACATTAGAAAACCAAACCAAAGTTGTGACAGAACTACCTAAGCCCATAAGACAAGCATCAGTTACAGAAACTTACTGTATTAGAAAAGCTATTAAACATCTTGTTGTAAATGAAATTTATAAAAGAAAGACTCCTGATGTTTTTTTCTCATTTGTTATCCATGGGGATAATTTGACTGTGAAGAACGTGGTTGAGAATTCTATCTAGTGATTGTTTTGATTTCCTAGTTAGATGTTTAAGCGTATGACCAAATGTGCCCTTTGGTCAAAAACACAATATAGTTTAAACATTTGTTCTCTGTTAATAACTGTAGTTAAATGTTTTAACTTATTTAACCACTAAATAAGTTAATGGGGGGAAAGGCTGAACTTATTTGACAGTAAATTTGTTTGATTATAAATATTCTAAGTTTGAGTCTACAGTAGTAGAATAAGAGATAGATTTCTGTATGTTACATTTCTTACCCTTTCAAAGAGTTAGAAGGACAGCAGAGTTCTTGTCTCTTCTCTTAATGTATTTTCTGGGATACCTAATATTGCTTGATGAAAACTTTAACTATGGAAATAAAAAAATAGATAATCCAGAAATGATAAACTCATAGTAGCAGTTTCATTTAGGATATCGAGGTAGTATTACTTCTAAGTGGGTGTGTTTGTAGTTCAGTTTTGAAATTAATAACTATATCTGTTATGCCGTATGGTACAACTTCTTGTACTGGTTTGTAGTTGAGGTATGAATTTCATATGTTCTCACTTTAACTTGTTTAGTGTGGTTGGGGAGGGGTGTAAATTTGGAGATAATTTATCTTAGACGTTGTTTTCCTTTAGTTGATAGGTTGAGTTAAGTGTCCCATCTATTATCAAGATTACCCGTGGATTGTTTTGGTTATAATGAATGAGTATCATTGCATATTGAGAAAGATACTTTATTTGGGAATAACATTTTATTTTGTGAGGTGCTTCCCTTCTCTCCAGTTTTACTTCTTTAATATATTTTATACTTCACATTACAAAGCATTTATTCCTTTTACATATCAGACTTTCTAATTTTTTTTCAGATTACAGTTCTGCTGTCTTTCTTGAAAGAATGTCAGAATTCTTTAAAAAGACGGTTTATTTGTGAATCCCTTCAGGGTCTGGGCAATTTTGAATTTTTCCCAGATAACCTTTTATTATAATTTCTAATGTTTTAGCCTGACACGCATATACTGGGTCTCCTTGAACTATATGATTATTACATTAGTTAACCCTTTTTTTCTGCCACAATTTTGACTCCTCAATCCCATCTCCATACCCAATTTTTTAAAAACCTTATTCACCTCTGATTTATTGCAGACTCAAGAATGAACAATCCGTCAGAAACCAGTAAACCATCTATGGAGAGTGGAGATGGCAACACAGGTAACAGTTTTCTGATCTAGCTTTTTAATTAACTCTAGTAGAGCACAAAGAAACTTTCCACCTAACTAGGACTCATATTTGGCAGATATAGACCAGTTTCAGTATTGAGTTGTCAAATATGATTCAGTCCTTAAGGAACTGGGAGGGATAATGTTTGTTTAAGCTTATCTAACTTTCTTCTGCAGATAGCCTTGTTGTTTTGCATCAATCTATCAGAGAAACTATGCAGCAGTTAGGAAAATTGTCCTTTGGGTCAGATAGTTTTGGGTATGAATTATGGATTTACCACTTACTAGCTATGTGACTTTAGGCAATTTCCCCAATCTTTTTCAGACTTAATTTATTCAATTACAAAATGAGGATAATACATTTCAGGTCATTTTGAGTATTAAAGGAGATAATATATGTGACATGTTAAGGAAAATGCCAGCTACACAGTAACCATTCAGTAAAATGTTATTTTTCTTACAGATGTTAATCAAAATAGTAAATTTTATTTGCCCTACATTTGATAGAAATTATATTAAAAGTTATGATAGTATCAATGAGTAGTTATAAACAGATATACATTTTTAATACATTCTTTTATTTGGTAATTTTAAAAAGTTATACTTCATTAAACCTTTTATCAGGAGAAAATTATCATATAAATGAGAATAGTGAGGCCCCATGAGAGAAAGGTAAATCCATAAAGGATGGTCTGTCTCCACAGCTCATACTCTTGAGTCAGTATATTGCTTAGAGGATGTAAGATTATGTATCTTTCTCATTTGCCAGAGATGATACAAGGACCTCCCTGGCTTCTGGTAAAGGCATAAATCAAAATAGTAAACCAAATAAGAAGACAATTATGGGCAAGGATGCACAGAAAGTACTTCTTTCTAAAAACTAGGTTTTTCACTTGCAGAGAGGGATTCCTTTTGACTTACAATTTTAAAAATGCTGAGCTATGAGTGATGGTAATAATGAAAGGCCCTCTTAATTTATGGTAAATGGCTGAGTTGAACTAATATAGCAGTTTTCTGCCTACATGTCTTTTGCTGTAAACTGTCCGATATGTGGAGATGCTTATGTTAATCTCTACCTCTTTATACGAAAGTGAGCTGTGGGGCTTCCCTGTTCACCCGCTTTGTTTAACACACTTCATAGTACTCTTACTGAGGCTAGCCAAGTAGACTCCTGTAGTATTTCTTGAGAAGAGGAAGGGCAGCATTGTATTCTGTCTGAACTGTCAGACACAGTCTCCTCTTTGTTATTTCTCTGTCCTCTGTTTGGGCTCCATCTTTCTTTCTTGTGTAGCACTGGTTCCTATGCCAGTGCTGGTGCTTCAGCCACCTAGCTTAGGTGTGGGAAATGTTTACAGGGAGAAATAGGGCAGCAGATCCCCTTAAGAGATTAGGGGGTAGGGTGGTGGGCCAGACACCTGTGCCTGAAGAACAGCTTCAAAGAAAAAACATACTTTTTTTCCTAAGAAAAGACAAGCAGAATAATTGGAAAACACTGAAAATACCCATAATATCAGACTCCTGTATTTACTTTTAATGCTACTACTGTAATAGCAGTCTCAGCAGTTACCATTTATTGAACAACTACAACACTTTTTTTTTTTTTTTTGAGATAGAGTTTCGCACTTGTCGCCCAGGCTGGAGTCCAGTGGCGCAATCTCAGCTTACTGCAACCTCCCGCCTCCTGGGTTCAAGCAATTCTTCTGCCTCAGCCTCCCAAGTAGCTGGGATTATAGGAGCCTACCACCACGCCCAGCTAATTTTTTGTATTTTCAGTGAGACAGGGATTCATCATGTTGGCAAGGCTGGTCTTGAACTCCTGACCTTAGGTGATCTGCCCGCCTTGGCCTCCCAAAGTGCTGGGATTACAGGTGTGAGCCACCGCACCCAGCCTGCAACTATAACACTTAATAAAACCTCTGTGACATGTTTTTTCCTAATGCACTGTGTGCATCACCTGATTTCAAGTTAAATTCTTTTGACAAGTTAGATACCATTATTTTAAAGAATAGGAAATTGAGGCACAAAACCAGCCAGGAAATAAAGGCAGGTTTAAGATATGCAGCCTGTATGTGAGTTTCCCCAGGAAGTGCAATAAAATAAAACTGAAAATTTAAGCAACATTTTGTATATGTCCAGACCTATAGGTTCTAACTGGAGCACTTTTTGAAACAGTCTTGTGAATTTCTTGCCCCTTTTTAGTATGGAATGTGTGGCAGACTGGTTCCTGTCATAGACTTTGCATATTTGCTTAACCATGTTTGATACATTAGATATAAAATTACAGTTTATTTAGATAATTATATGCTTTAAAATTTGTTTTTATTTAAGCATACAACAAATGAACCTTAAGACTCTTGAATTGTTTGTTAGTTAACTATTATTTTTTGGTGGTTTGTGAAAAACAAGTAAAATGTTTAAGGGAAAGAACCCTTAGCATTATAATAAAACTAAAGCCGCACAATTTCTGGATTCATAATACATTTGTGTAGATCATTTTTTGCTGAAATGTTTACAATTGTAATAATTTTGATTTGTGAGACTTTAAGGAGAATGATATTGTAAGATTATTTTAAGATTGTGTTGATATGTTAGTTTTTTGTCTTTCTTCTGTCAGTGATTTGAGAAGCAAAATCAAATGATGTACTTTTTGTCAAAATAGCCCTTATATGTTCGCAGAAAATCTATCGTTTAGGTTTTTAAAAAATGTATTCAGTAAGTGCCTGTTCTGCATGTAAAGTACTATAATCGGTGTTACCAGAATATACAATGAAAATAGGTGAAATAACCCTCAGTCTTTAAGGAGTTAACAATTCATTAAGAGATAATACTGATAAATAGGTAACTGATTCTGGTAGATTATGGTAAGTAATTCAAGAAGAGGTATTAAAAAGTGCCATAGTGGTATTAAGTAGGTGTTTCTGTGAGGAAATATGAGTATGTTTATAGGTCAGGTGCAAGGACCCATCGGGGAGCAGGAGAGTGGAGAAAGAAATACAATTAATTGAACCAAGGTAGGGGTGAAGGGCTAGGATCAGAAGTGCAGAATGAAGGGTTGATTCTGAAAATGAAAAAAGACTATCCCATTTCTCTAAAACTAGGGAGAAGAAGCAAATAATATATAATATCAGAGAAAATTTAAGTGGAAGGGAGAAGCAAAACTGAGCATTGATTCACATCAGATTGCCTCATTTTTCTCATTAAAGTCGTTGAGGTGGTCACCTGAGAAGAAGCAGGGATATAATAATAATAATGGCAGCAGCTACTGTTTTTTGAATTCTTACTGTAGGTGTGTGGCTAGCCACTTTATTATATATACTTTATTATTAAAATACTCTTATAAGGTTAAGTAGATTTATAAAAAGGATTGATAAGCCTATTGAGGGTCAGGCTCAAAGAAAATAAATATGTTAGCATATCCAGCCAACATAGTTATACAGTTGATCCTTGAATAACATGGATTTGAGCTGCATGGGTTCACTTATATGCAAATATTTTTTCATTAAATGTATTGGATTTTTTATTTTATTTTATTTTTTTTTTTGAGATAGAGTCTCGCTCTGTCACCAGGCGCCAGGCTGGAGTGCAGTGGCGCAATCTCAGCTTACTGTAACCTCTGCCTCCCAGGTTCAGGCAATTCTCCTGCTTCAGCCTCCCTAGTTGCTGGGACTACAGGCACACGCCACCATGCCCAGCTAATTTTTGTATTTTTTTAGTAGAGATGGGGTTTCACCATGTTGGCCAGGATGGTCTCGATCTCTTGACCTTGTGATCTGCCCACCTTGGCCTCACAAAGTGCTGGGATTACAGGCGTGAGCCACTGCGCCCGGCAGATTTTTTTTTTTTTTTTTTTTTTTTTTTTGCAACAGTTTGGAAAAACAGTTGAACTGTGAAATACTGAGAAATATTGAAAAAATTTAAAAGGTATGTAATGAATGCATAAATATATGTAGATGCTATTCTGTTTTATCATTTATTACCATGAAATATTCACATCTATTAAAATTATAAAAACTTAAAATGTTTCAAAACTTATGCACACAAACACTCAGAGACCGCATACATGGCACCATTCAGTCTAGGGAAATATGAACAAATGTAAACAGCACACTATTAAATTGTAGTTGCGTAAAATTAACTGCAGTACCTACTATACTACTGTAATAATTTTGTAGGCACCTCTTGTTGCTATTGTGGTGATCTCAAGTATTGTGAGCATCCGTTTAAAATGCTGTGTGACCCTAATCACATCACAGTGAACAGTTCATCAAGTAAGTTGTGGGGCCGGGTGCGGTGGCTCATGCCTGTAATCCCAGCACTTTGGGAGGCCAAGGCAGGTGGATCATGAGGTCAAGAGATCGAGACCATCCTGGTCAACATGGTGA